ACTCTGTTTCTCAGTTAGCAGAAAATGAGGGGAGTGGGCTAGCAGAATACTGGTATTTACTTATTTTTTAGTTCCTAAACCCAAATCTCTTGCGGTTTGTCTTAAAATTTTTATAAAATAAAGCAAAACAAAACAAAACCATAACCAGGTAAGGCACAATCATGCAGGCGTCAACTGGCCCCTTATACAATGCCTGGAGACTTTCGGGTGAAGTGATGTTTTTCAATAAAGCAACTTGTGTTATTGTTTTGTTTTGAGACAGGGTCTTACTATGCAGTTCAGGCTGGCGTTGAACTCTCTTTGTAGCCCAACCTGGCCTCAAACTCCCAGTGATCCTCCTGCCTCAGCCTCCTGAGTGCTGGGCCTGGTGGCACAGGCCCACCTGGCTCCTCATCATTTTAAAGGTCTTGTTCAACTTGGAGAGAGAGCCTCGTGTTAAAGACGCCAGGAGTTTGAATCATAAAAGCCACGTTAAACGTTCTATTAGAATTCAAACCTCCTTTTTAATGCAAATCTAAATGCCATTTTATGGAACATCTATAATTATGAAAATGGGCCGACATCGGCCGCGTGCGTGCGTGTGTGAGGATGGATGCGACATTAATGCGCCCACCCCAGCTCGCTGTTCCCGCTGGCAGGCGCATAAAAAATGCTTGAGTGAAGCTTGTGTTCCGATGTTAAGATTCCCGGGCCCAGCGGGGGGACGGAGGCAGCCCCCGCGCGGTACCAGCGGAGACCGCACGAATTGAATCACCCAGGGGGCGGAAGAGCGGGGCGCGCTGCTTCGCTTATTTAATTTCATTTACTTTCAGTTCATTATCAGCGCGAGCCCTTCTCTCCCCACGCACGGAAACCGAGTGAGAGCACAGCCGCCATGGAGCAGACAAAGGTTGAGCCGGGCGGAGGAGTTTGAAGTCCAAGCCCCGGGTTCTAGGACCGGAGAGACCGCGCCTTTTTATTTATTGGTTCAGGGTTAAGAGGAACTTTTTTTTTTTTCTTTTCTTTTTGAGACAGGGTCTCTCTATGCAGCCCAGGCTGGTCTTGAACTCCCAGCGATCCTCCTGCCTCAGCTTCCCCAGTACTGGGCTGACAGGCAAAAACATACCACTATGCCTGACGAAATCTAGTATCTGAAGGCTGGGAATGGTCACGTTCCACCTGCTATTCCAGCTCACAGCTGTGTGTCTGTCTGCAAATGTGTATATAGACACACATTTTCCAAAGCCTCAAATACACAGTGGAGGTACTGTGGGTAGGATGGGTCGGGGTAGTTTTCTGTTATCTGATGATCGTTGCTCTCAAATGTGTTTATTAAACTTGCTCCATTGGCATCTATGGTCTTCTTTAATGAGATCATTACTAGCTGGGTGTGGTGGAGCACGCCTGTAATCCCAGCACTCAGGAGGCTGAGGCAGGAGGATCACTCTGAGTTCAAGGCCAGTTTGGGCTACATAGTGAGTTCAAGGTCAATCTGGACTACATAGGGAGACTCTGTCTTGGCAACTTCCCAGGAAAGTTTATTACTTCTTTTCTTTAGCTTTTTTTTCTTAGGAAACGAGTTTCTTTTTGACTTTTTTCTTAATTCCAGTCAATAAAGTACAGTGTGTTTGTGGCGTACGGCACGCTAAAGGAAAGCGAGTTTCAACAGCTCTGCCTCCGTGAGAGCCCTGGCCCTCGCTCCTGGGGTTCTTTTGTGGTTTCATGCGGCGGCCCCTTGGGTCTGCACTCACTCAGCACAGTTTCTGTCGCTGTATTTCACTTAGGAAAGACTTTCAGCCAGCACACAGAAAGGGAGAAATTCTGACCGAGATCTAAAAGATTCAAACACATAGAAACCGCTTGGATAGACATGCTGAAGGGGGGGGTCCACGGAGAGGAAGGCCCAGCGGCAGACCCGGGAGGAGGGGAACACAGACAGTTTAAGTCTTGGAAGAGCCACGTGGAAGAAGCCAGACACAGGTGCAGCGGGGCCAGATGACAGGGTGTCACAGAACAGCAGAAATGACGCATTTGTAGTTACCAAGCTGACACAGACCACATTCAGGAGATCATTTTTTTTTTTTTT